GGCCACAGATGGCTGAGTGTTGTGGTGGGCACCTGTAGTCCCAGCTACTTGGGAGGCTGAGGCAAGAGAATCACCTAGGCCCAGGAGCTGGAGGTTGCTGTGAGCTGTGATGGTACAGCGCTCTACTGAGGGCAACAAAGTGAGACTCAGTCTCTTAAAAAAAAAAAAAAAAGTCAACACTTCTGGCTGGGTGGTTACTGGCAGGCTGGCAGGTTCGCTGTCGGGTTTGAACCCGGCCTGGGCTAGCTGACCAACAATGACAACTGCAACAAAAAAATAGCTGGGCATTGCAGTATCAGAAGGAGACTGGCTCCCTCCCTCCCTTCTAGGCAAGGACAATTAGCTCAGAAGGAGCCAAACTGTCTGGAACAAACAAGTAGCTCCCGCCTCTCTAGGAGGGTCCCTAACCATAAACAGTTCAGCCAATAGCAGCCCTGCCCCACAAAACACCCAATGAGGCTCAGTGCCTATAGCTCAAGTGGCTAAGGCGCCAGCCACATACACCTAAGGTGGCAGGTTTGAATCCAGCCCAGTCCACCAAACAACAATTCCGGCTGCAACCAAAAAAAAAAAAAAAATTAGCCAGGCCATTGTAGCAGGCACCTGGGGCCCCAGCTATTTGGGAGGCTGATGCAGGAGACTGAGCCCAGAAGTTGGAGGTTGCTGTGAGCTGTGATGCCATGGCACTCTACCCCGGGGAACAGCTTGAGACTCTGTCTCAAAAAAAAAAAAAAAACACCCGATGAAATTGCTCTATGCCGCTTTAAAAACTTCAGCTTGCTTCACTAGGGGGTCATCCTTCCTCCAGCCACGCTGAAGGGAAGAGTGGCCCAGGCATATGCTTGCAAAATAAAGCACTTTTTCTTTACGTGTGTGTGGTGGTGCAATTCTGGTCCCAACACTGCCATGTGGCTATTACACTATTTTTGTTAATTTTATAATGTTAAACTTTAATAATAACAAATAATTGTTGAGAACTGATTATCAAGAACTGCTTATCAAAGTTCGCATTGTTGATCAGTTGTTAGAATTCCACCACTATTGTTTGGACTTAATGAACAATGGCATTTTTTGGCATTGGCAACCACAAAAACATTTTGTAACTGTCTCTCAAACAATACACATCGTACTGTGTGCTAGTGCTAGTTAAACAAGTGATGTCAATACATCAGCTATTCAGATAATTTAGGTAAGTAATTTATTTATTTATTTCATGAATTTAGCAGACAGTACTCGTATTATTTATATTTTATAGCAGTGGCAAAAAGTCTAGTGCC